AGATGGTCTGTCCATGTGCGGGGGGGGGGTTTCCTGCGGGCGGTCTGTCCATGTGTGGGGGGGGCGGTTTCCTGCAGGCGGTCTGCCCATCTGCGGGGAGGGTTCTTGCGGGTGGTCTGTTCATGTGCAGGGATGGGGTTCTTGCAGGCGGTCTGTCCATTGTCCATGTGCGGGGGGGGGGGTTTCCTGCGGGTGATCTATCCATGTGCGGGGGGGGTTCCTGCGGGCAGTCTGTCCATGTGTGGGGGGAGTTCCTGCGGGCGGTCTGTCCATGTGCGGGGGTGGGGTTCTTGCGGGCGGTCTGTCCATGTGCGGGGGGGGTTTCCTGCGGGCTGTCTGTCCATGTGCTGGGGAGGGTTCCTGTGGGTGGTCTGTCCATGTGCGGGGGGGTTCCTGCGGGCGGTCTGTCCATGTGGGGGGGGGTTCCTGGTTCCTGCGGGCGGTCTGTCCATGTGCGGGGGGGGGGTTCCTGTGGGTGGTCTGTCCATGTGCGGGGGGGGTTCCTGCGGGCGGTCTGTCCATGTGGGGGGGGGTTCCTGGTTCCTGCGGTGGGTCTGTCCATGTGGGGGGGGGGGTTCCTGCGGGCTGTCTGTCCATGTGCGGGGGAGGGTTCCTGCGGGTGGTCTGTCCATGTGCGGGGGGGGGGATTTCCTGCGGGTGATCTATCCATGTGCGGGGATGGGGTTCTTGCGGGTGGTCTGTCCATGTGTGGGGGGAGTTCCTGCGGGTGGTCTGTCCATGTGTGGGGGGAGTTCCTGCGGGTGGTCTCCATGTGCGGGGGGGGGGGGTTTTCCTACGGGCGGTCTGTCCATGTGCGGGGGGGGGGGGTTCTTGCGGGCGGTCTGTCCATGTGCGGGGGGGGGTTCCTGCGGGCGGTCTGTCCATGTAGGGGGGGGTTCCTGGTTCCTGCGGGCGGTCTGTCCATGTGCGGGGGGGGTTCCTGCGGGGCGGTCTGTCCATGTTCGGGGGGGTTCCTGCGGGCTGTCTGTCCATGTGCACGGGGGGTTCTGCGAGCGGTCTGTCCATGTGCGGGGGGGGTTTCCTACGGGCGGTCTGTCCATGTGCGGGGGGGGGTTCCTGCGAGCGGTCTGTCCATGTGGGGGGGGGGTTCCTACGGGCGGTCTGTCCATGTGCGGGGGGGGGTTCCCGCGGGCGGTCTGTCCATGTGCGGGGGGGTTCCGCGGGCGGTCTGTCCATGTGCGGGGGGGAGGAGGGGGTTGCTGCGGGCGGTCTGTCCATGTGCGGGGGGGGGGGGGGTCCTGCGGATGGTCTGTCCATGTGCGGGGGGGTTCCTGCGGACGGTCTGTCCATGTGCGGGGGGGTTCCCACGGGAGGTCTGTCCATGTGCTGGGGGGGGGTTCCTGTGGGCAGTCTGTCCATGTGCAGGGGGGGGGTTCCTGCGGGCGGTCTGTCCATGTGCGAGTGGGGGGGTTCCTGCGGGCGGTCTGTCCATGTGCGGGGGGGGGGTTCCTGCGGGGCGGTCTGTCCATGTGAGGGGGGGGTTCCTGCGGACGGTCCGTCCATGTGCGAGTGGGGGGTTCCTGCGGGCGGTCTGTCCCTGTGGGGGGGGGGGGGGTTCCTGCGGGCGGTCTGTCCATGTGAGGGGGGGGGCTCCTGCGTGCCGTTTTCACACACATATTGCATCGGGGATCGGCCAGATCTGCTTTCAGGAAACCGAGACCCAACTGCCATTTATTTATAGTAAAACCAAAAACACCGGCAGATAGGACTTATATCTCAGGAGACTATAGGCAGTGTTCCCCTTTACATCAGAGTCCTCGGAGTTCTCCTTTACATCAGAATTTTTAGGGTTCCCCTTTAGACTGCGGACCCTGATGAGACTGCGGACCCTGATGACTGCGACTGCGACTGTGGACCCTGATGAGACTGCGGACCCTGATGAGACTGAGACTGCGGACCCTGATGAGACTGCGACTGCGGACCCTGATGAGACTGAGACTGCGGACCTGATGAGACTGCGGACCCTGATGAGACTGAGACTGCAGACCCTGATGAGACTGTGACTGCGGACCCTGATGAGACTGCGGACCCTGATGAGACTGCGACTGCGGACCCTGATGAGACTGAGACTGCGGACCCTGATGAGACTGCGGACCCTGATGAGACTGAGACTGCAGACCCTGATGAGACTGTGACTGCGGACCCTGATGAGACTGCGGACCCTGATGAGACTGCGACTGCGGACCCTGATGAGACTGCGGACCCTGATGAGACTGAGACTGCGGACCATGATGAGACTGCGACTGCGGACCCTGATGAGACTGAGACTGCGGACCCTGATGAGACTGAGACTGCGGACCCTGATGAGACTCAGACTGCGGACCCTGATGAGACTGAGACTGCGGACCCTGATGAGACTGCGACTGCGGACCCTGATGAGACTGCGACTGCGGACCCTGATGAAACTGCGACTGCGGACCCTGATGAGACTGAGACAGCGGACCCTGATGAGACTGAGACTGCGGACCCTGATGGGACTGAGACTGCGGACCCTGATAAGACTCAGACAGCGGACCCTGATGAGACTGTGACTGCGGACCCTGATGAGACTGCGACTGCGGACCCTGATAAGACTGCGGACCCTGATGAGACTGCGACTGCGGACCCTGATGAGACTGCGACTGCGGACCCTGATGAGACTGCGACTGCGGACCCTTATGAGACTGAGACTGCGGACCCTGATGAGACTGAGACTGCGGACCCTGATGAGACTCAGACTACGGACCCTGTTGAGACTGCGGACCCTGATGAGACTGAGACTGCGGACCCTGATGAGACTGAGACTGCGGACCCTGATGAGACTCAGACTACGGACCCTGTTGAGACTGCGGACCCTGATGAGACTGCGACTGCGGACGCTGATGAGACTGCGACTGCGGACGCTGATGAGACTGCGACTGCGGACCCTGATGAGACTGAGACTGCGGACCCTGATGAGACTGAGACTGCGGATCCTGATTTAAAGGGGAACTCCTTGCCTCAGGGTCAGCAGTCTTAGTCTCTCTCCCCCTCATGCAGACAGGCGGTCCTCTAGGAAGGGCCCCTGTAGGGACACACCCACTGTACCTATCGGGAATTTCGGCCCTGCCAGTGAACCACAACCACATAATGCCTAACAACCAACAACAGCATGTAGGAAAACAGAGACCACAGATACACAGAGCAACACCAGGGGTGGCAGGAGGAGCGCGGAACCAGGACTGGGATCCAGACATGAGGCAGCAGCAGACCTGCAGAACGGAAACGTTTTCATTTACTTTCAGATCGATTTGTTATGTTAATAACTTCATTTTGTTACATTTGTAGCAAAATTTGTTTCATTTCATTTATTTGTTGTCAACCAGATTCTAATTTTTCCCATCAGTTGAAGTAAATCGAATTCGAACCAAAATATTGAATTGATCCAAACTTGTGAGGAATAGCTGGTTCTATTCTATTCGAAATTCAAACTTCAGAAGACGGTTGTGATTTCATCTATTCTATTCTATTGTATTCAGTTTTATCCTATTCTTTTCAAATTTCTTAAGTCAACTATATTCTTTCTATTCCATTCTTTTTCTATTTTATTCTATTCTGTTAGGTTTTACTCCATTCTTGTATATTTTATTTTATTATATTTTATTTTATTCTGCTTTATTATATTCTATTTGTTTTTAATTTAAATTTCAAAGACGGCTATATTCATTTAATTCTATTCCATTCTTTTTTTTTGTATTCTATTTCATTCCTTTATTTTCTATTCTTATAGTCTATTCTATTCTGTTTTATTCTATTTTATTCTTTTCAAAGTTCAAATTTTGGAAGATGGCTATATTCATTCTGTTCTTTCTATTCTATTCCTCTTTTCTGTTCTACTCTGTTTTATTCTGTTCTATTCTTTTCAAAATTCCAATTTCGGAAGACAGCTTTATTCTAACTGTAATACACTCAATGTTTGAAGGAAATCAGCAACAGTCAGCAAGGTGTTAAAATTTCAATTTTGTTTTCAAATTTGATTTTGTATAAGAATTCAAATTTCTGACAAAAATTTGTTTCGGTATTTTGGATTTGTTTAACCACTTGCCGCCCGGCCTATAGTAAAACATCCTCTCGTCCCTCCGGGAGGGCGTCATATGACGTTCCTCCGGATCGTGCCTTGCACCTGCCCGCAGGGCCGCGCTGTGGAGAGATCTGACGTGTGTACCGACCCCGTTGCCAGTACCATGTGACCTGCTGCGACCAATCACAGCAGGTCACATGACAGTTCTATACATGGACGGCTTCCTTCATGCCATCCATTGTATACTAGTGTGTCTAGCTGTGATTGGTCACAGCGATCACATGCACAGCCCGGGGCCAATCACAGCCCATCTGTGTCATGTGATTAGCCATGGCCAATCACAGGTAATCACAACAAAAAAAACCTGAATGAATCGATTTTATTCAGGTAAATGCTTGGTTATGGCAGAGAAATTCTTTGCTATAATCAATCAAATTGTGTATAAAAGAAAAATAAAATACTGATCACTTCCCCCGAAGTAGTACAAGGTTACTATGGTAACATTATACTACTGTGGTCATAGTGCAATATGAAAAAAAAAAATCTTAAAAAAAGAGAAACAAAATATAATAAAAAATATAAAAATAATTAAAAAATGTAAAAATATATATATATTTTTTTTTTTACTTGTAACGTCCCTGATCACCGCCACACCCGTTATATGATGACGCTGCACTGCACTGGTGACAGGATGGAAAAACACAATGTGAACATTTTTTTAATTTCTTAATTTTCCAAAAAATTACTACAAAAAAATTACAACTTTAAAAATCTCGCCATTCCTCTTATGAAGTACGTCGGACTGTCTACTCTGCAAAAAGGGGTCATTTGGGGGAAATCTGTACTGTCCTGACATTTGGGGGATATCTGTCCTGTCCTGTCCTGACATTTGGGGGATATCTGTCCGTGTCCTGACATTTGGGGGATATCTGTACCGTTCCTGACATTTGGGGGATATCTGTACCGTCCTGACATTTGGGGGGATATCTGTACTGTCCTGACATTTGGGGGATATCTGTACCGTCCTGACATTTGGGGGGATATCTGTACTGTCCTGACATTTGGGGGATATCTGTACCATCCTGACATTTGGGGGATATCTGTGCCGTCCTGACATTTGGGGGATATCTGTGCCGTCCTGACATTTGGGGGATATCTGTGCCGTCCTGACATTTGGGGGGATATCTGTCCTGTCCTGTCCTGACATTTGGGGGATATCTGTACCGTCCTGACATTTGGGGGATATCTGTCCGTCCTGACATTTGGGGGATATCTGTGCCTGTCCTGACATTTGGGGGATATCTGTACCGTTCTGACATTTGGGGGATATCTGTACCGTCCTGACATTTGGGGGGATATCTGTACTGTCCTGACATTTGGGGGATATCTGTACCGTCCTGACATTTGGGGGATATCTGTACTGTCCTGACATTTGGGGGATATCTGTACCATCCTGACATTTGGGGGATATCTGTGCCGTCCTGACATTTGGGGGGATATCTGTGCCGTCCTGACATTTGGGGGGATATCTGTACCTGTCCTGTCCTGACATTTGGGGGATATCTGTACGTCCTGACATTTGGGGGATATCTGTACGTCCCGACATTTGGGGGATATCTGTACCGTCCCGACATTTGGGGGGATATCTGTACCGTTCTGACATTTGGGGGATATCTGTACCGTCCCGACATTTGGGGGATATCTGTACCGTCCCGACATTTGGGGGATATCTGTACTATCCTGACATTTGGGGGATATCTGTACCGTCCCGACATTTGGGGGATATCTGTACTATCCTGACATTTGGGGGGATATCTGTCCGTGTCCTGACATTTGGGGGATATCTGTACCGTCCTGACATTTGGGGGATATCTGTACCGTCCCGACATTTGGGGCATATCTGTACCGTTCTGACATTTGAGGGATATCTGTACGTCCCGACATTTGGGGGATATCTGTACCGTCCTGACATTTGGGGGATATCTGTACCTTCCTGACATTTGGGGGATATCTGTACCGTCCCGACATTTGGGGGATATCTGTACCGTTCTGACATTTGGGGGATATCTGTACTGTCCTGACATTTGGGGGATATCTGTACCGTCCTGACATTTGGGGGATATCTGTACCGTCCTGACATCTCTATAACTTCCTACAGAAAATAATACATCCTAATTTGGGTTATTTTCACCAAAGACATGGAGCAGAATACATCTCGGCCTAAATTTATGAAGAACAATTATTTATTTGAAATTTTTTTATACCACAAACAAAGAAACATTGATTTTGTTTTTTTTTTTCAAAATGTTCGGTCTTTTTTTGTTAATATATCAATAATAAAAACCCCGGCAGTGATTTTAATACCACCAAAAGAAAGCTCTATGTGTGAACAAAATGATAAAAATGTAGTTTGGGTACAGCGTTGCATGACCGCGCAATTGTCATTCAAAATGTGAGAGCGCTGAAACCTGAAAATTGTCCGGGGCGGGAAGGGGGTTAATGTGCCCGGGATTGAAGGGGTTAAATTAGTTTGCAATTCTATTGTAATTCGGATACATCTGAATCTCAAGGTAACCCAAATTGTGTCTGAATTTCACTTCGGAACGAAACCAACCACACACGTCCAGGGGCGGACTGACAACTCATGGGGCCCCCGTGCAATAGGGGATCATGGGGCCCCTGTTTCCTTGCCCAAACTAAAAAAAAACCTATGAAAAAGGTGCCAGGGGCATCTCATGGGGGGCCCCCTACGGGCACCCCTCTTTCCAAATAGTCAGTCCGCCCCTGCACACGTCTAATGGCCAGCAGTATGTGGCTTGCAAAGCAAAACACTGATGCAAAGTGTAAAAGTGGTACTAAATACCTTCCCAGTAGCCAGCATCAGGTGGAGACTGATCACTGAAATCTGCTGGCTGCTTGGAGACTCCCACTGGTAGACACCGGAACTACAGCCTCCGGCTCTGGGAAGCACACTGCCTCCAGCAGGTTATCCAGGTCCTGACACATTGGCATAAGCCTTCGCATTACATTGTGTAACAGTGGGCTGTCCTCTGCCCCTGGACCTCCCATTTATTGTTTTATCTATTATCTGTGATCCAGATACCTGAGTTGCTGTACAATATTCATGAAAGGCACCGAAGAAAAAGGCAGCAAAAATCAGCAAAATAAAAAATACATTTGTGACCATAAACTGGAAACGCTTTGGGTGCCACGCCAAGTCCTCATCATGTGCGCTCCGGTGACTAACATTTGGGTGCTGCGCCAAGTCCTCGTCCTATGCGCTCCGGTGACTAACATTTGGGGGTCCGCGCCAAGTCCTCGTCCTGTGCGCTCCTGGTGACACACATTTGGGTGCACCAAGTCCTCGTCCTGTGCGCTCCGGTGACTCACATTTGGGTGCCGCGCCAAGTCCTCGTCCTATGCGCTCCGGTGACTAACATTTGGGTGCTGCGCCAAGTCCTCGTCCTATGCACTCCGGTGATTAACATTTGGGTGCTGCGCCAAGTCCTCGTCCTATGCACTCCGGTGACTCACATTTGGGTGCCGTGCCAAGTCCTCGTCCTATGCGCTCCGGTGACTCACATTTGGGTGCTGTGCCAAGTCCTCGTCCTATGTGCTCCGGTGACTCACACATTTGGGTGCCACGCCAAAGTCCTCATCCTGTGCGCTCCAGTGACACACATTGGGGTGCCGCGCAAGTCCTCGTCCTATACGCTCCGGTGACTCACATTTGGGTGCTGCGCCAAGTCCTCGTCCTATGCGCTCCGGTGACACACATTTGGGTGCCGCGCCAAGTCCTCGTCCTATGCGCTCCGGTGACTCACATTTGTGGTGCACCAAGTCCTCGTCCTGTGCGCTCCGGTGACTCACATTTGGGTGCCGCGCCAAGTCCTCATCCTATACGCTCCGGTGACTCACATTTGGGTGCGCCAAGTCCTCGTCCTGTGCGCTCCGGTGACTCACATTTGGGTGCCGCGCCAAGTCCTCGTCCTATGCACTCCGGTGACACACATTTGGGTACTGCGCCAAGTCCTCGTCCTATGCGCTCCGGTGACTCACATTTGGGTGCCGTGCCAAGTCCTCGTCCTATGCGCTCCGGTGACTCACATTTGGGTGCCGTGCCAAGTCCTCGTCCTATGCGCTCCGGTGACTCACATTTGGGTGCCGCGCCAAGTCCTCGTCCTATGTGCTCCGGTGACTCACATTTGGGTGCCACGCCAAGTCCCTCGTCCTATGTGCTCCGGTGACTCACATTTGGGTGCCACGCCAAGTCCTCGTCCTATGCGCTCCAGTGACACACATTTGGGTGCCGCGCCAAGTCCTCGTCCTATGCGCTCCGGTGACTAACATTTGGGTGCTGCGCCAAGTCCTCGTCCTATGCGCTCCGGTGACACACATTTGGGTGTACTGCGCCAAGTCCTCATCCTATGCGCTCCGGTGACTCACATTTGGGTGCCGCGCCAAGTCCTCTCATCCTATGCGCTCCGGTGACACACATTTGGGTGCTGTGCCAAGTCCTCGTCCTATGCGCTCCGGTGACACACATTTGGGTGCTGTGCCAAGTCCTCAGCCTATGCGCTCCGGTGACACACATTTGGGTGCTGTGCCAAGTCCTCATCCTATGTGCTCCGGTGACTCACATTTGGGTGCTGCGCCAAGTCCTCGTCCTATGCGCTCCGGTGACTCACATTTGGGTGCTGTGCCAAGTCCTCGTCCTATGCGCTCCGGTGACACACATTTGGGTGCTGTGCCAAGTCCTCGTCCTATGCGCTCCGGTGACTCACATTTGGGTGCCGCGCCAAGTCCTCGTCCTATGCGCTCCGGTGACTACACATTTGGGTGCTGCGCCAAGTCCTCGTCCTATGCGCTCCGGTGACACACATTTGGGTGCTGCGCCAAGTCCTCATCCTATGCGCTCCGGTGACTCACATTTGGGTGCCGCGCCAAGTCCTCATCCTATGCGCTCCGGTGACACACATTTGGGTGTGCTGCCAAGTCCTCGTCCTATGCGCTCCGGTGACACACATTTGGGTGCTGTGCCAAGTCCTCAGTCCTATGCGCTCCGGTGACACACATTTGGGTGCTGTGCCCAAGTCCTCTTCCTATGCGCTCCGGTGACTCACATTTGGGTGCTGCGCCAAGTCCTCGTCCTATGCACTCCGGTGACTCACATTTGGGTGCTGTGCCAAGTCCTCGTCCTATGCGCGCTCCGGTGACACACATTTGGGTGCCACGCCAAGTCCTCATCCTATGCGCTCCGGTGACACACATTTGGGTGCCGCGCCAAGTCCTCGTCCTATGCGCTCCGGTGACTAACATTTGGGTGCTGCGCCAAGTCCTCATCCTATGCGCTCCGGTGACTCACATTTGGGTGCCGCGCCAAGTCCTCGTCCTATGCGCTCCGGTGACACACATTTGGGTACTGCGCCAAGTCCTCATCCTATGCGCTCCGGTGACTCACATTTGGGTGCCTGTGCCAAGTCCTCATCCTATGCGCTCCGGTGACACACATTTGGGTACTGCGCCAAGTCCTCGTCCTATGCGCTCCGGTGACACACATTTGGGTGCGTGCGCCAAGTCCTCATCCTATGCGCTCCGGTGACTCACATTTGGGTGCTGTGCCAAGTCCTCGTCCTATGCGCTCCGGTGACTCACATTTGGGTGCTGCGCCAAGTCCTCATCCTATACGCTCCGGTGACTCACATTTGGGTGCACCAAGTCCTCGTCCTGTGCGCTCCGGTGACTCACATTTGGGTGCCGCGCCAAGTCCTCGTCCTATGCACTCCGGTGGGTGACACATTTGGGTACGTGCGCCAAGTCCTCGTCCTATGCGCTCCGGTGACTCACATTTGGGTGCCGTGCCAAGTCCTCATCCTATGCGCTCCGGTGACTCACATTTGGGTGCACCAAGTCCTCGTCCTGTGCGCTCCGGTGACTCACATTTGGGTGCCGCGCCAAGTCCTCGTCCTATGCACTCCGGTGACACACATTTGGGTGCCTGCGCCAAGTCCTCGTCCTATGCGCTCCGGTGACTCACATTTGGGTGTGTGCTGCGCCAAGTCCTCGTCCTATGCGCTCCGGTGACTCACATTTGGGTGCCGTGCCAAGTCCTCGTCCTATGCGCTCCGGTGACTCACATTTGGGTGCCGCGCCAAGTCCTCGTCCTATGCGCTCCGGTGACTCACATTTGGGTGCCACGCCAAAGTCCTCGTCCTATGCGCTCCGGTGACTCACATTTGGGTGCCACGCCAAAGTCCTCGTCCTATGCGCTCCGGTGACACACATTTGGGTGCCGCGCCAAGTCCTCGTCCTATGCGCTCCGGTGACTAACATTTGGGTGCTGCGCCAAGTCCTCGTCCTATGCGCTCCGGTGACACACATTTGGGTACTGCGCCAAGTCCTCATCCTATGCGCTCCGGTGACTCACATTTGGGCGCCGCGCCAAGTCCTCAGTCCTATGCGCTCCGGTGACACACATTTGGGTGCTGTGCCAAGTCCTCGTCC